TAACTAAGAGCATTGGCTCAGTCCTATTCGACCTCTTTATATATAATATTTGCTAATTCCAACGTGGCTTTTTTAAATAAATAATGATAAATATTTATTTTAAATAATACAAAAATACTACTACATATATTGGCAATATTCTACTACCCATTTTGTGTCACATTTTTGAAAAGTTCCTATTAAAAAGAAATCTTCCATTCCTAAATTCTGAAAAAATAATGCCGACCTCAATTCGGTTTTCACAACTTCCATTCAACTATCCAACAGTCCCAGTGTGATAGACATTATTTCCTTCTCTCTTAAGTTGGGACAGTATTGTTCCTGGGGCCTTTCTTCACATAAGCCAAGAATTTGATCAAATTTAGCACCTAGGTTTGCTGTTGATGCTCAAGGGCATCCTTTGATCCACCTACCTCCACTGCATAGTTATTTCACTGACCAGTTTTACCGACTTTCTCAATTCTTCTCAAAATGTATCATGTAATCCTTAGGGTAGAGTCCTGACCCCCACACTATACCAATATTCTACAGCTGACATTCCATCACATCCTCTAATCTGCACACTCACATTTGCAAACGGTACAGCCTCTCTAGTTACTCCGATTCCGTCATTTCCACTCGAAACCTTCAACAACTCCTCACGCTACTGGAGTCTTGGGTGAAAAGAATATAATAAAATTTAATACAGACAAATTCATCCACATTACCTTCACTCTTCGTAAAAAGATCTCTCCTCCAGTCTACTTAAATAATATTCCCGTCACTACTGCGGACAAGGGTTGGTACCTCAACTGTTAACTGTTGGTTTTCCTATTTATTGGTCTTTAGGTCTTAAGTCTGTAAAAGTCTGCGGTACAGCCTCGCTCTATTAGAGCGAAGTCCCCTCCAACCACGGCACAGTGGCAGCCCCAGGCTAAGAAAGACCAAACCCCACGGATCTCTCGCGATTAATACTTTTAACCGCTTCATCGAGGAGACTTCAGTATCTAGTCACTATCGACACCTACAAGCTCACTTGAGACTCCTTGATCTCAAGAGTCCAGGGACAACACGGAGCGCCAGCAGATAAAACAAGAATTGAGGGAATATCAGAATACATTTTTGGGACATCTATTAATAAGCTGAAAATTTTGTTTTTTGATGTTTAAATGTTGCTTGGATTGGAGGTCTTTGGGGGAGGAGAAATCAATTATGATGTATACATAGATGTACACTGAGGAAGGTGAATAAACAACCGAAAGCTTGATAGATTGAATACCATAATATTCACCGGACCACGTGCCCTACCTCAACGAATATAATGTGAATAATAGCTGGTCGATCGCCTTTACATAATAAATAAAGTATTTTGTTAAATTGTATTTACGATAAACGATAATTCTTTAGTATTTATTTACATTATTAGAACAGATGTAAACTGACGCGGTGTGGAAAATGTCGATGGGCGTGCTGAACACACCTATGGGATCGACCAATGGAAAAAGGGTGAATCAGACCTGCAGACATGCAGCCTCGTCCGACTCGGCAAAACAGGTCCAAAGTTGAGTCAGCTCTTTGTGCCGTTGACGTTGTCAGGTGTTCCCTTCCAGGAACGTCTCAACAAACGTCAATGCCGTTTTTCCATTTTCGGTGCCTGATTCAATACTAGTTTTACACTCTTCCTCCTCAGTCGAAGGTTCCAGCTATCACTTCGACGTAAGGATGAAATGGCTACTTTAACAGAAACTAAATAACGATTCCAATATTTTCAGCCCGTTCCGATAAACCATGTTTACATTTATACATCGTTAAATGATCCATTTTTGATGTAATTTTCAACATTTGGCAATAACACGCCGTAGATATTTATGTCGGAAGTGGCCTGAGATGCTCCAAGAGGGCAATGGGAAAAAGGACTTAGTTGATATTAAGTTGTTTAATAGACGCTAATGCTTGTGTTCTTGTGTCGAATACTTATTTTGTTCAAGTTGTGTTGTTTAAGTATTATTTTCTTCTGTTCAATAAAATTTATCAGCTCATTTCGAGTTCAATTTCCAGAACCACTATATCCACTTTCCTTACAAAATTGGAAGCCGCTAGCTTGCTAGTAGGAGGTTAGTTGGTTTTGTTTTGATCTCGATTTGTGTCGGTACTCGGATTGAAAAATTGTACTTTCGTGGTGAACAAACAAATGACGATTGTGACGAGTATAAAGAAAAGGAATAATAATCGCACAATCCTTCAGCACACCTCTAAAACTAAAGCCTTATCCTTCAGATTAAAGGGTCAAGACTATGGAACTTGCTTCCCCGGGAAGTATGTCCATGGCATCTGAGTTTTTAAACACTACAAAAATCTTACTTTTTTCTCTTTCAACTTTTCTTTCGTTACGTGGTTTTATCATTGGACTTAATATTGCCCTTATTATTTTGTACATTTTATTAGATTTTTATTATCGTTATTATTATTGCTATTAATATTATTTTACTCTGATTATAAGACTAATTTTTTCCCTAATATGTACATATAAGCAGGCTTAAAGCCCTATTGTGCCTTTAAATACATACAAATAAATAAACAACACAAGACAAGTCGAGAAGTAAATATGCCGAAAAAACCAAGACAAAATTCACCCGGATTTGATGATTTTGGAGCACGTGCAAGAAATCCTTATGCTTTTAAATGGCAATTTCATTTTCCGGAGATGATGCGTCACAAATTGAAGAGACTGCGATTCTTATGAAGAGGATCTAGAAACACCCATATTCACCAAAAGATCATTAAAAGGGACAGGTTTATTGTTTATCAAAAGCGCAGCAGGTTTTTAATAGTTGGAAAACGCTGAAGACAAAACTGCTCGACGAGTTTTAGCCGAAAATTTCGACTGAGAGATTTTGTCGAATTTCAATGAGACGATTAAAGCTTTTTATTTTTAACTAAAATTTTTTTTTTGAACTTGGAGATGTCGACAAAACATACTGAATGAGTATTTATAGCGAAATAAAATGAGTTCATCTTCAGATCTAGGGTATTAAAGAAAAAAAATCTGGAAAGTTGAAGCAGAATTTGGATATCAGAGCGCAAATTGGCAGAAAAGGACGTGAAAGCAGGAGAAAATATTTCAGTCCAATTTAATAAGACACCCGGTAAATCGGCACCGTTTCGTTGTTTATAATTGTTGAATATTTTAAAACTAAATTTGATGTATGTATCAATTAAAGAGTAAGATAATGTTTTATTGCTGGAACACTGATTCTATTAAAATTTGTATTTCATTTATTACAGGCAAACAGTATTGAAGCAAGATGATTATATTGGCTGCTGGGGCAATAATAAAATATTTATACTAACATGCTCACTAACCTGACTGCCAGCAGAGAGAGTTGATTTACCATTTGTAAATCCCTCCTGGGAAAAGATAAAAAAGTTTAAATCAGAAAGTAGTAGACAGGGTAAATATAAAAAATAGATGTTAAATACATTAAATAAATATTTACCCTCTGAAGGCAACAATCCTTGCCTTAAAACAGCTACGATGAACCAGCTAACTACACACTGTTCAACACTCGCGAAAAAACTTAACGCACTGTTTAAATAGCACTTTGTGAAAATGTAAGAAAATATATAAAAATTGCACAACACCCCCTAGAAAAGAAAAATACGAGAAATGTATAAAGCTTACAATAAATTTCATGATTTCCTCACGTCAGGGGTTGAAATGTAAATCTTATAAATTCTACATCACCTTTCAAAGGGCGGAAGGACTTTTCACGTTCCTTTCAAGTCGCTTTTCCCTGTATGGCGCGGTTCTGAGTGCAAACTTTGCCTTCAATCCTAATCACAAGTTGCCTCACGGCGTACCGTACACCTTCGCGTTTAAAGCTAGCTCATCAATGATTAAAACTCATTTCAAAACAATTTTATTTCCGATACGAGGATTTTCTACTTGTCGCCGGGTTCGCCATTTAATTAAAAACTCGACAGATACGAGAGCGAGCAAAATGAGACCAATGAAGCCATAGCCACCAAATAAAAGACCCTAAAACAATAATACAAATTAATTTGAAAAATTAGTTTCAATGAGTAAATTATTTTTCTGCTCTTTTAGGTTCACATAATTTTAAGAAGAGTTCAATTTGGTCTCAGTTTGCTTTAATTATGTCAGCGGTCGACGCAAATTGTACTTCAAGTAAATACATTTTAACATGGATATGTTTTCGGGCTGGATGCACAATTTTTCTTGAATGACCCTTTTTGGGTTATCGATTTTACGTTACCAAGTATCCATAGGTTGAGCTGGGATAGGTTAGATGCTCATAACGTTAGCGACGGATTAGGTGAGGTCGGGTTCACGACGGGTAAATAGGGTTAAAGATGGTAAGATGAGGTAAGAATTGGTAGGGTTGACGATAGGGTTAGAGATAGGCTAGGTAAAGTAGAATTAGGGTTAGGTAAGGGGTGTGACAGGCCCGTTACGTTAGGTTAGGTATCGTTAGGGTTAGGGAAGAATTAAGTTAGGTAGGGTTAGAGATGTTTTTAATCAAGTTAGGAGGGTTAATGTTAAGGCCGATTTAAGTTAAAACAGATAGGGTTGGGGACAGTTTAGATTAAGTTAGGTTAAGTAGAGTTAGGGATGTTTTGTAGAGTTAGAGAAGGAGATACTTTAGGTACGATAAGCGACTAGTTAAGTTAGGTAGGTTAGAGAGCATTATATACTAGTTATGTTAGGTAACATTTGGGACAGTTTAGGCTAGGTAAAGTAACTGGTTAGTTTAGGTCAATTTAAGGTTACTGCTAGAATTAGAGATTAGTAACAGTTACATATCCATGATTCAACATTTTTCTGTAAAATAAAAATATGGAAATGTGAAGTGTTTTTTTTTTAATCTCAAGCTGTAGCAATGTATTCTGAATGTGAAAATCTTGGAGTTCACATTAAACGGTATTTAATAGTATGCTACATTGGTTTACTAATTTAATGCAACCTTAAATTAATGGGTTGAAAGTAAATTAGGCATAAATTGTTGAACTAAACAATACAGAAAATTTATTTTCGTATTATCCGCCTTTTTGTCCAGACTTTGCTCTATCTCACTCTGCCGAGGCGAACCATGGACTTTTTTTTGAACGCCGCACCACCCGGCGGTATCGATTTCTTTATAAGATTTCTACATGAAAAACATCAATTATTAAACAGAGTTGGAGGTTATTTTTAAAAGACCTGAGTTTATAAAGTTGGTCGACCTTTCAAAATGGAAAATTGTGAACAAATGCATATTCAATTTGAAAATTGTTGAAGCATATATTCTGTGAAAAATGGATTTTTGCTAATCCAGCATTAAATAGATTTAACATGGTTTTTGTAAATGTGTAATAGTCATAACATGTTTTGATTGTAGTAAAACTTAGATATATGTATCCAACTAGTTTTACTTCATCAGTATTTTTCAAAAATTTATCAATTATCATAACTTGAAATAATTTTCTCTTTTTTCAAGTTATATTTTTAAGAATAAAGTATCATTTTTTCTTTTACTTTGTTTGTTTACATATTGAGTAAACTACAAGAAAGTAAACTTTAGTAAAAAAAATCTCATAAATAAATAAAAAAATACAAATGTATTAAAATTGTAATATGCCAGACTGCTAAATCAACTTTCCCCAGAAGAAGGATGATATCTATCCCAGTATTTACTGAAAGCCGAATGCAGGAGTTTGGCCCTGGCCTTTTCTTCATGCCTGCGAAATGAAAAACAAAAAAAAGGGTTTTTTGTTGGAAATTTACTCTTTTAGTATCTAATTGAAAATAAATTTTGATTTTGAGGACTGCTTCATTTTGCTTTCAGCATTGGAAGTGATAAATAGTGTTGTACCTGATGTTGGCAATCTTTCTCTCTCGTTCTTCAAGCTTGGCCTCAAGGTGCTTGCAGCGGTGCCGCATGTCCTTGATCTCTTGTTCGAAATGCATCTCTTGGTTGTTGTACATGCTCTTAAGTGACATTATTTCCTTCTTAGACGTTTCATACTCATTTTGAAGGATTTCCCTGCTTTTCCTCTCTTCCATTTTTTCATGTTTAAGCTGCTGATTTTGCATTTTTTCATTTGACAACTCCTACATCAACAAGGTTGTAGTTTTTGTTTTTAATAAGAAAAATTGGGCAATGTACCTCGAGGAGAGAAGTTAGTTTTCTGGCAGGTTCAGCGACTTGTGAAATAAGAGAAGAGTTCTCCCTCTGCAGCTGGACGACTGTTCCTTGAGCCGACTGCAGCTGTTCCTCAATCATACGCTTTTCCTGCTTCATCCTCTCAATTCTATCATTTATTAAAAGAACTTTGTTTGACTGAAATATTAAAAAAATAAGTTTGATTATAAAAATAAATTTGACAATACAAAATTTACTTGTCTTTCTGTTAGCTCCATAATTGTATTTTCTAGACTCTGTTGCTTCTCTGAAGATAGAGTCCTGATTTTCTCTATCTTGCTCTCAGTTGCTGCTTCTAGTTCTTGATATTTCTTTTGCCAAATTTTCTTATCCATTTCATAATTTTCTTCAATAAACAAATTAATTAGACAAAGACTTATAAACAATAAATTTACATTTTTAAAACAGTGATACCTTCTAAATGCTTTGTTTTTGTATCATACTGGCTCTTCAACTGTGCCAGTTCTGACCTTAAATTCATACAAGTCTGCTTTTCAATGGCGAGATCATTTTCTAGTTTTATTATGACCTCTTTTTCATTGGAAATTTTTTCTTGTGTGGTATTGACTTGTTTGAGTTGTTCCAGCTCTTTCATTTGAAGGGACTGAAATGGAGGAAAATTATAGTTCTAAAATCGGTTGTCCATTTTGGACATTTCTGATCATCTCTAAGTAAAGGAATTATATAAGCCTTATGCTTTGGTGTGATGTGATGCATACCCAGAAATGATAAGTAAAACTACTTTGAAATTTAATTTATTATCATTGAATCAAAAATAACCTTTTGAAGTTTTTCAATTGTGTTCTGGTAATTGGTCATTTGCTCTTTAATAGAAGCTTCCCTTTCCTTTATCGCTTCCTCAAGAGCCTCAGCACGCTGCTTTTCATTTTTGTGCTTCGTCTTGTAAGTAAAAACCTGCTCTTCAAGGGTGCCGATCTGTTTTTGCATTGTACGGTTCTCCTCCATAATCTCAGAAAGCCTTTTTTCCGCTTCCCTGACTTGGAACATTTCCTATGATATATGATTTCTAAAAAGGAAAGTTAAAAAAATCTCACTTCATGTGCTTGTTGGCAGCTTCGGTTATCTTGGTCAGCTGCTTGGTCTTTGTCTCCTCAAGACTTTTGATATGGTTGATGAGAATTTCTGTCTTGACGACATGATCAGTACTCATCTTTAGAACACTCACGTGGTTCTTTAAACACTCCTCTGAGGGGGGAAAATTCGGAGGAAAAATTATTTAAATATGTTCACAAGCCTGTAATCAAAACTAACCTATTGCTATTAAAATTTCCCGATGGACAAAATTTCCCCTAAGCTGTAGTGTCATTAGAGTTTGATTTTCTTCTAGACTTTTCAAAAGTTCTTCAGCACCTTCGTTCTGAATTGAGTTCCATCGTAAGTCTAAAGATAATTATGTCAAGTTTTCATTTAATTTTTTTTTTTTAATAATTTTTGTGACAGATAACCCACCTAAGTGTTTAAGGCTTGTGTTTACTCGAAGGGCATCTGCAATCTCTTTTGCAGACTGTTGACTGATTTGGTTGTTTCGCAAGTCAAGATTTTCAAGGGTTTGGTTCTCTTTCAGTCCACTACAAAACGTGCTAAAAGAATCGAGTGACACACCCATGTTGTTCCATTTCAATATTAACCTAAAAAAATAAAAGCAAATGATATTTTATTCTAAAAATTACTCCATAGGTTTTTATTACGTTTTAATACTAGAGTTGTGGGCTAGGAGTTTTCCCAGCCTGACAGTCACATGTGTTGTGATGTTGTTGCCGTACAAGTTAAGCTCCTTGATATTTTTACTGCTAATGAGTGCCTCAAAAATAATGTTGAGGCATGTTGGATTAAGCATACAATCAGTGAAGTTAAGTGTCACCAGGTTGTCAGACTTTGCAAGGACATAAGCAATTGCCTCACACGTCTCTATCCCCAGTGGATGACCAGACACGTCAAAATCTCCAGTGACACTAAACATAAAAATAAAATTTATAAAATTTGAAGGAGATTTAAAGTTGAAATTAAAACAGAATTCAGACAAATTATTTATATAAAATTGCAAAATCTCAAGCAAATCTATCTCCACGCTTTAAATATTGTAGAATTTAACTCTATAGCACTCGAGATTAGAATTATACTTTTGTTTAAATATTAACTCTTCATCACAGAGTATAATTATGTAATGCCATCCTAAGTACCATCTACTTTTCTCTTTTATGGAAGTATTCCTTAACTATTCTCATACCTAGAGCTCATAAACCTCCCAACCACATATCTTTCTTTAGAACCATCAGCCTTCTTCCTGTGATGTACAAAATCCTTGAAAGACGCCTTTTAAAATGTTCAAAACATTATGACAGACTTCATTTCTACTTTGCAGAACTACTTTGAATAAGTTTTTGCGCTTATAACTCAGCTGTCATAGAAATAAAACAACATTGCTACCAGGACAAATACTTTGACAAATTAGAACTCAAGAATTAAAAATTAGAACTGAGTAAATAAACTCTTACTCTTCTTCCTTCTTTTATGGTGAAGAAATCATAAACTGCTTAAACTTTTTTTTGTTTTTTGAGTATGTTATAACTTCAAGAAGCCTTGAAGAAGGGAGACAGATTGGCCCAAAAATGCATTGGCATTAAAAAAGAAAAAAAGCTTCTAAAGGATAGCATAAGGCTAATCTTTAGTGAAACATTTCAAATTTAATGTTTTATAAAAAGAATACTTTGCGCATTTTGCATGAAGTACAAAATGATGCCTTAATTTTGCCACTATGGTGTCATGGTAGAAGGTAAACTTAAGGTAGTTTAGCATTTTTCACGGTTCTTCTTCTCTTATTTTTGTTTTATTCACCTTTCTGAAGAGGCTGTACTGTTTCCAGGCCAAAGCTTTGCTGTCACAAAGTCCCATACTCCTGCTTTCATGAGAGTCAGCAGGTTTCTGTATCAATTTTTCCCGTTTTTTTGAGGTGGGAATTGAATGGGCAATGGCCAGTATAAACAATTATTATTTTCGTTAATAATAATTAAACCCTTCTGAGGGATAAATAGATTTTTGTTTTCCTGGTTGTTAATCTTTACTCGAATTATCCAGTTTTGCCCTGGGGTACAGATACACTTTTTGATTCTTAGATAATCTGGAGGTGTCAGGATATTTGGGGTATGAAGGAAATAAACTAGCTGAAATGAAGTTGCAAAATTAATCAATTAAGAGAATCCAAAGCTTGACTAAACTGGCACGTTTACAAAAAAAAGTAAATTGTAAGAATGAAAAATTAATTATTTCATATATTTTGCATACAAACAAACCTAGTGGGGGCTTTCTTCCCCAGAGTGATATGGAAAGCAGGGAGAAAGTCACTTAATTAGTGATGGAAAAGCTGGAGCCAACATCGTAGAGCCTATTCCTTTATTTTAATTGAATCCTAGATTCTTATTCACTTTTGAAGTGTGCCGCTTCTTTTTCTTTAAAATGTATTTACAGTTATGTTTATATTGATTTGAGCTTTTCATTTGATTTACCTAAGCTGAACTTTGGTTTTCTATTAAAAATAATAATAATAATAAAGTTTTACTAGGGGCGTTGGTGGCAGCAACGGTTTAGGCGTTGACACATTGCTCATCACTGTAAGGTAAAGGTCCCGGGTTCGAATCCAGGGCTGGATTCGAACCTGACATATTTACAAATGGGCTTTTTTTCAAAAACACCGGCATCCCAAGGGTTGTTTTAACCTCTGCTGTTGCAAACCCTCGTTAAAAAAAAAATTAAGTTAAAAGTTTTATTTAGCAAAAGGCTTTTTTTCTTTTTAATGAGGATATTTCAAATGGGAGGTTATAAGAACCCAGGTTGGGGGGAGGACACCGCTGTTTTTGAAAAAAGCCCATTCGTAAGTATATCGGATTCGAACCCAGGACCTTAACCTTTCAGTGATGAGCTCCATGTCAACACCTAAACCATTGCAGCTACTGATTCCTTTTTTTCTTACATTGTATTTTATTATAAATATAGATTTTTATTTTCATTTCATAAGGCAGCATCATACCTCCTTTTTCCCTGTTCTTATTACCTTTTGGTAAATGCTAAAATGGTTTAGTCGAGGACCGACAAATCCTCGAGACTGACAATATTACTATTTCAATACAAAAGACAAAAGTCTGTATTGTGTGTGTAGCCAAGCCTGATGGAGTTGAAACAAATACTTACCAATTTTGCCAAGAAGAAGACTTTGAAACATCTATGACTAGGAAGATATTGCCAGGGTATGATGCTACGTTGGAGTTGCGTTGCAATGTAATATGCTTTAATTCCTTAAAAAGTGTGCATGGTCCATAGCTTGGACTTAAAAAAAATAGGGACCGAAATATATTCTGGTTGGACCACACTGGGGAAGGAAGTTAAAATCACCAGTGCGTTTTTTTTTTTTTTTTTTTACAAAAATAGATTGTTTAACTGCGGAATTTTTTCATTGTGTGTAAGAGATGTTACAACAAAATAATGTAAAAAGGTCAAACAAACGTCTAAATTTTCAGAAATCTAGGTTTAGGTCAAACTTTGCTGCAGTGTTCACGACCTCCATATTTTTTGAGGATAATTTAGCAACCAAAAGGTACTTTGTTTTGAAAAGGCAATTTGAAGAAATCATACTTTTGTTTTACAATGTACGCTGTGAAAAGACAATAAAAAAGTTAAATAAAAGCAATACCTCGCGTTTTTCAACGCTTGCTTTACGCTCGGTTCTAGGGGGTAGTTCTTCCTGAGGCAAAAATCTCGGTAAAGGTGGTTTTCGTCAACCTGCGCCATCCTGTAACACACAGATCTCTCAAAAACGCCACGACCTTGGAAAATTCCTCCAGCGGATAATACGAAGGGCAAAAGGAAAAAGAAAAAAAAAGTTATTTTAATTTTTTTTGTTTACTACAAGGCCGGCTGCTAGAAAAAACATGACCTTGGAGACCGTTGCTAGGGGATGGCTAACGAAAAAATTCATGGCGGATCTTTTCCTTTTTTAAATCTTAATAAAACGTCTAATCTACGCTAAAAAGTCGTTTTCTGTTTATAATCTTCCTGTGATTAAATCCAGTGTTAGAAATGTCTGAGTTTAACGGAAAACAGCCCACATAATTTAAACATTTTTTTTTGTATTGACCGATTTTCTTCAGCAATGTGAATATTTATCTAAATAAAAACCTTATCGTGAAAAAAAGGGCCAAATTCAAGATCCTCTCCAAAAAATTATAACAATGTAATGATATATACCTGTTGCCAGTTTTAAGTCCATAATCTGAGAGAACTCAAAAGAAAAGTGGAATGTTCCAGTCTCCCATCCAAAAAAATCAGCCTATCAAATTAAAGACAGCTACACTGTTACCAACCTCACTTCACTCCTGCTTTTATGAACAACATTGTTCTTTTATTTTTCTTGGCCAGTATCTGAATGAGGTTTAAAACATCAGGACCATCTGTTCTCATACAGGATAGGAGGCTGAAAGGAAGGTAGAGAACTCAGAAGAAAAGAAAAGAGTTCCAGACTCCCTCCCAAAAAAGTCAGCCTATCAAATTAATGACAGCTACAGTGTTGCCAACCTCGCATCACTTTTAATTTTATGAGCAACACTGTTCTTTTTTCATTGCTTAACACTTGGCTAGTTTCTGAAACAAAACATCAGGACCGTGTCTGCTTATACAGGAGAGGTGGGCGAAAGAAAGATGGAGAATTCAGAAGAAAAGAAAAAAGTTCCAGATCCTCATTGCTCATTCACCTTACTCTGAACCATCGGTAAGTAAAATTGGATTCTATGATAACTTTATAAGGGATAAGTAAAAAGCGTTTAAGTTTATAGAGGATGCCACCAGGCACAATCAAAATCCTAGGCCACATAGGAACGCACCTAAGCAATATTCTTTTTTTTTTAGAGTAGAGGAAATGGTGCCATTGGCTCTGAAATCTAGGTACAGAAGCCAAGTTGGTGAGAATAAATAATTCTCTATGAATCTAGAATGGGCATTAAACTTTTTAAAATGTGGCGTTCGAGTATTTTACACATCACAGGAAGAAGGCTCATGGGTTTGTAGGAGGATGTGTGGTTGGGAGCTTTAACATGAGATTTACTATGGAATACTTCCTAATGAGAAAAAAAGGGTGGTACATAGGCATTGTGTTTTAAAGGCTGATGGGTTTGTAGACAAAATCGTGTTATCATGTGTGTGGTGGTAATGATGGTGTTGGAATGTATAGAAAAGTTAGCGGTATAAATAGGACAGTATAAACAGGATGGGACCAAGAATGCTCCCTTATGGGACACTGCATTGTATTGGCCATTACTGCAGTCCACTCTGAAGGAGTGGTCAGTTGAATGGGATCCCCGGGTGTCAGAAACCAGGAATGCCATGTAATACTTTTTGTTCACAGAGGAAACGTTGTCAAAGATTTTGAAACCTTGCTGGACTATGGAATGGTGCGGTAGAAGCCTAACTGATGAGAAAGAATGTTTCTATTGATTGTATTAAACGTTTTAAAATGAGTCAGGATTGTGGACACCATAGGAAAAAAGCCTTTTTCTATTTTTTTTCTATTTTTGTTGATCACAGTAACCCTGTAGCCAGGGAGTTTATTCATACCTGATTGCATGTATTTAACATACATAGCCATATGATTGAACATTACAACAATTAAGAATGCACTCAAGTGCCTTTCCACCAACACTCTATGCTGTGAACAAGATGACTCTTGCAGCAGTACTTCCCTGCAAAGTCTGATCCTGTTCCTTTCCTGAAGTTTGCAATCAAACGCAGATGGGCCCACGTCTGTACCGCTCCCTCACTACATTCACACAATTAATTTAAAACTATTATTCTTTAATAGTTATTAGTTAAGTAGTTAATAGTTAAAACTATTCTTTAGCTGTTCTGTGACCACTAAAAATGTGTAGTTTTAGGTGAGCACTTGCAAATATTGTGGGAAAAATCTTTTCATGTGGGATGCTTTCTCCATTTCAACTCATTGTGAATTCCATTCAGTTAGCACATTTGTCCTATTTTGGAGCCTCACATAGCTAAGTGGTACCTTCCAGAAATCTCCTGCCATGTCATTGCTCGTTTTCCACTTCCTTCGCCTCTGGGTCTTCTACCTCGTTTCCTTTGTTCCTGATATGGGCATTGACTCATGGAATGCTATTTCCCAACCTTACTTTGTACTGCTGTATGGTCTTTTTGGTAATATTGGATTGACGGCTCAGATCATAACCATTCCTCAGTACTTCTAAGGGTACTGGGCTTTCTGTTTTGATAGTCGCTGATTTTGGGCCTTCCCATTGTTGGCCTCTGTTCTGTTCTTATAGTACACCGGTAGTTCTAATTCATCAAGGTATTTGGTTGTAATGCTTTATTTCTTTGATGGTTGAGACGTTGAGTTATACAAAAAACATATTGAACTGCAAGGTAGAAACGAAGTCTGTCAACTTTTTTTAAAATTTTTTTATTTCCTCTGCCGAACATACTCATACTATTTAATTGACACTAACCTTTCTCAGATACCCACTGATTTATAAAATCATCGTACACATACTTTCCCCATTCATCTATGAATTCTTTAAATTTAAATGTGAAATTTGAAGTATTAAGTAACGTTTATATAGCTCTAGTGATGGTGACATGCTCATAATAAGCCTGATTAAAAATAAATAAATAAATAATAATTACTTTTGTTTAATGCAACTTGGTGATTAAGGCCATATTCTGCACCCTTGAGGGTAAATTGTAATACAAAAACACAACTTAAGTTATATGAATCCTTGGGGTGCATAATGAGCGCGGTGTCAATGCCTAGACCGTTGCAGCCACTGACGCCCCATTTTAAAGTTTAAACCTTTAATACAAGTAGAATTATCAAAATCTTGAGGGTGCCTAAAAAGGCACATTGCATTTAAAAGGAAGTGGTTTCAACTTAATAAAAATATACACAATCTGTCAAGTTGAAAGTATTACTGGTATAAGCACTATCTAATTTGTCAGTCAAAATCCAACTTATCCAATTTTGCCCCAAGGGTGCTGAATTAAAATGGATTATAAAATTGTCAGAAACAAATTTATGCGAATTGTTTATTTGCATTAGTTGACTACAGCATCATCAGGAGCACCAATACTTGTTTTTTTGCCAAACTTTCTGTCCAAATGAATGATGAAATCATTCTTTCTTAGAATTATCACACTGAATATGGTCACGATCGCTGGAACAAAAGTCAAAATTAGTAAAACTTTATGCTAAATTTTTAAAATTAGTAACTTCTTTATGCTTCTGCTCTGACTTACAAAAGAACGAGAGTACTATCTGCACTTTCAACACTGTACTTAAAAAGTTCTCTATGCTCTCATCCATTTTCTCCTTCAATAATGTTTCGTAAATAATTTCCAACTCTGAAGGTGATTTTTCTCTAGATTCACAAGATGGACCTATGTCATCGTATTTGGCTACATCCCCCCAAACGTACACTTGCCTGCCACAAGGTGTTCCAAATGATTGTACAACTAAAGTTAAAACTAGAAAAAAGTTGAACAATTCATTAATGAGTTAATAATTCTTCTTAACAAAATAACTATATTAATTGATCTTGAAAGTTTTGGAACATTGTTGTGAAATCTGTGTGGGTGCATGTGTCGATCATCTGATCTAGAGCATCTTGCTCTGCCTATTCTCACTGGTTTTCCCTGTCAGCTGCATTTTGAAATTTCGCCACCTTCACTGATTGTTCTGAGGTCCAAAACATGTCTGATAGACAAAAGTAAGATTTTAGGTTTCTTTTCTTTACTAGTTCCTATTCATCTATGGACATTGGTATTACTAACAATAACTCCTGTAATGGAATGTATTCTGAAATATCATCAGCTATGAGTTATTGGTGGAGTTAGCCTGAAATGCATTCATTTTAATTACACCAATGTCCAAAACTAGGATGATCGGAGATGATCAAGGTACCTAGTCTTGAAAGACTCGTTGCTGAGGATAGCAGTAAATTTAGAAGCATTAAGTTTACATTTCGATTATGTGTTATTCATGATGGGCTTTTAATTTTACTAAATTTTAATTTGATAAGAATTTTAATGGGGCCCAATGTCACCTCAGAAGTACACAAATTTAGCAATGGGGGGAATCTCTAGTTTAGACTGGGCACAGTGTTGCTTATAGAGTTTCTGCCAGTTGGCAACACTGAATTGTTTGGCGCCAATACTGTAGTTACTAGTTACTACTCACAAATCTTCACCACCTAGTAAGTTTCTCTTGTAATATTGATGAATTTTTATGCAGACAAATGATTTGCCGTATTTTATGTACATTTTCGTGTTCTAAATAATCTATATAAATCATGAGAACACTAATTTCTTTTAATGTGGGCTGAATACAAGGTGTTTTCTTGATGGTTCCTGATGGCAACAATTGTTACCCTACTAAGCTGTATGCATTGATTTACTGCAATAATTGCCAAAATTTTCTCATTTTTTATATTTTTCAAGCTCGGAAAATATGTAAATAAAATAAGAAACAATTCATAAATAAATTTTTTATGTGTGGGCTTGAAAAGGTTAATAAGTTGACTCTGACATCTACAGGGTGGAGAATTTTTTGACATACCATAGGTTTAGGTAAAAATGAGCCTTTCTTATACTCATTAGAAGGATAATGAGCATGTCTTGTTGTCTATCTCTATTAGTATTAAAAGCTCTTCATTAAGTTTAAAGCTCACAAGGAGGCGATTGGTATGAGTGACGTGTATGTGATACCGGTATGAGATACAAAAAGTATGCAGGCAAATCTCCTGCCTACTAGATTCAGTCGGCTTCCCTCCATCTCTTCTCTATCCTCTCCCAAGCAGTTTAAAGACCTAGATGTTTGATTCTGTCATATTTTTATAATGGACAAGTTATTAGTTGTAGCTCTTTGGCATTTAATCAGATGAAAAGTAAAAATAGAGTAATGTGGTTTCCAAGCCTAAGGCTTTTCATCAGATCCCAAACCTTTGTTAAAGGCTCTTGCATGTATCTTTCAATCTTTCAGACCTTGCGGTTTTATTTCCCAGTAAAAGGATTCTCAACCTGCATAGGCAGGCCTTTGCACCAACATAGGACATATTATCTTGTTATAGGCTTGTTTCTGCTGTTCTGAGTCTATACGTATGTCTCCAGAGTCTGTAGTGTCCAATCAGCAGTCCTACTATCACTCTTGTCCTAAGTAATTCTAGGTTTAGCAGTTTTGCCGTTAGTTTCTGTGATTGTCCTTTGATGAACTTTTTGCATGCCTCTGCCCTAGGATACAGTTCTATTGATTCAAACACAACCAATTATCTTGGTACTATATTTTTGGTAATTGATATGATACAGAAGGGTTTAGGGTCAATAGCTGTCCTGGTTGAACTGTCCTAAGCTAATATAACATATTTCTTGTTGCCCTTTATAAACCTTTGTACTCAAACAAGGGTAATTTTTTTGTTATCCCAAATTTCTCGAACTTATCTCAATTATCTCGATGCAATCCCAAACGGCTCTGAACTTACTGCTGAGAAAGTAGTCTCTGAGTCTATACATATGCATCCAGAGTCTTCAGTGTTCAGTCAGCTGTCCTACTATCATTTTAGCCCTAAGACATCCTAAATTTAGTAGTTCTGTCATTACTTTCTGCCATGGTCTTATGATGAACTGTACTGGGATACAGTCCCACTGAACCGAGCAATTCTTCTTAACCTAATCTCTCTGATGGATTAACGTTTTTGCTAATTTGGTATGCTTCAAAAGTGTTCAGGGCTGGTAGGTGTTCTCACTGAACTTTCCTCGGCCAGTTTATCATCCTCCCAATTGACCCTCTGCCCTGGGGTATGCCCCCAAAAAGAGTAGTTTTATTGTTCAAACCGAATTGGTCTTAATGCATCATAATCGGCCCTGGACTTTATTACTGATTAGATAGTTGGCTTTATTGCCGCCTATCTCGACAGATGGCTATTAATTTGTTAATAATACCCAGCCTTTTAACCTCCTTGGCTAAGCTTTCAAAAATATTTAAGCTCTCTGGTAAAGGAAGTACAAGAAAACATTTTTAAGTGAAAAAATAAAATAAATTAGCTAGTTTAGTTAACTGTAATAATATAATGCATACATACACCACTTGCATTATATCATACAATTTGTCATGGGTTGATTTAGGTTTATCACCTTGCAGACCTCACTACAATGTTAACCTTTTTCTTTTATTTAGAATATCAAAATACTTATATCATGGCACAACATTGTGAATTCATAGTTTGAATTCAGTATTGTTTGTCTACATAGAAGTGAAAAAAGGTGTTGAAATAAAATATTAACGATGCTGATTTTCTGAAATTCTTACTCAAGTAATTAACCAAAAACTAAGCCTTGTTAAACTGTAAATATTTAAATGTATACCTACTTGACAAAAATAGTAACATCATTAGTTTTCACACAAACCAAATAAAATTTTCAAACATATTTTTCATTGAGTTTTGATTGTCATATGTATTTTATAACTTTTAAATTAAAGTGATTAAATTAGAGTGATGGAAAACATCCAATCTTTCAAAACTAGTTTTTTTCTGATATCCAATCATTGTCAAAATTAAATTTTTCTTGAAAAAGGTACTGCGCTCAACTTATTGTTTACATTTCGAGTTAAGATAATAATGAATAAAACAAAAAAACAACATTCAAATTAGTTTTTATTGTCAACATTGTACAAATGGCAATGTCATTCATTAAGATCTAAACAACTTTACACTAACACAATACTATTATATGTACATACAGGAGAATGTTTGTGATGACAGTTTATATTGATAACATATACTAACATGTATAAACTATAATTATAAACATCGATAAAAAAATTTAATTGGTCAATAGTTACTAACAGTCCTCTAATTTGTAGAAATGTATATAAATTACAAAGTATCAGAGCTACTCTAGGCGGTTACTTATTTAAAACACTTATAGATTACATTGTTTGTATATCTATGTACAAAACAATAGTAAAATAGTTTGATAGAGTGGAACATTCAGATGAGCAAAATGTAACATTAAAAAAATACAATCTACAATACTGCCTTCCCTTGTTCCAGAGGGATTTATCTATATAAATATTTTAAACATTAGGAATACATTCATGACAAGAGTACGTTATTCATTGACCTGTACTTGATTGCAATTCAGACTAAACCAATGCTGTACATTCTTTAAAAAGATTTCATTTGTAATTATGAAATAAATTGTTAAGACCTGCCATTTAACATTGTGGTTCTTCAACAATTTTTATTGCTTGGTACTTACTACAAAATATAAAACATCTTTTAAAAATTCATGCAGACCCAATTAACAGTGTTTTCATAATAAAACATTAGGTATAAATAAAATGCAATAAAATATAATACATTAAGTTGAAGACAAACTTTATGTTTGTTTTAATAGAAAAGTATTTCATACTTGTTAACCTTCCAAAATTCAGAATTGAATTTAGTAAAATATTAGCGGCAAAAATGTTGCAGAATTGTGTTGTTCCAGAAATTTACTGCAATCAAACCAGTATATAAAAAAGTTGGTTTCTTTTTACTAACAAATATCGAATTGAAGTTTTGGCACATTATTTTTATAACCACAATATTTAAAAAACACATGTAACTGTGAATTGTTTATTTATTTTTGTTTCAAAATATGACAATATAACTCATATTCGAGACGATTGCCCTCAATGGATTTTGAGCTCGGCGAGGAGTGTGGTTGACAGGGAATAAAATCAATAGAAATTATATAGTAAATAGGATTTTGGAATATTAATTGGGCTTAACTAGGTGGAAAGATTTTGTTTTTAAATTCAGCCTCATAGTGCAGGTCAATGTTTCTCTCACAAAGGAGCTATTCTAAATCGGTTATCATTACAATATAGAGCAAGCTCGAGATTTTTGGGGTTTCACGGGCTGAATCGGAGGCAGTTGGGCTATGCATTGCAACCTATGAATGACGATCCTGTAAGAAGCTATGACTGTGCTTCGAGCCCCCTGGATCATCTCGTGCTCAAGCATGCTCTGGGTGATGCCAAGCGCTTCCAGTTTCTCCCTTGCAGTCTTTTCCTCTTGTGAGAGTTTCTCCATTGGCACCTGTAACACAACAGTTTAACTAAAAGCTGACAAGTGAGGATGTGATGACTATTTACCCCTAGGGTTGGTGACAGTATGTACTTCTCACATGTCCCTCCATTTATTGAGTGCCCATTCATCCATTCAGACTCGGCTATTTGATCCAGTGAGAATCTGTCCTTTGGCGTCTGCCTCAAAATCCCTCCTGCAACAGAAAGAATTTTAAGTGTGTTGGGTACAAATTAGAAATACAATTTACTTACTTATGAGAGTTCGGCAGGGTAGACTGAGATGAGCAGGAGCAGTTATCACTCCGAGGAGGATGCTCCTTTTCAGCCCAGCAATAGAGTCTGCCGGGAAGGGCATATGTCCAGTTGTCATGAAAAAGAGGAGTACACCCAGAGCCCAAATATCTACAGGACGCCCACTGTAGCTCTCATCCCGGAAAAGCTCCGGAGCAGCATATGGTGGTGAACCACAAAATGTTTTCAATTCCTCACTCCCTATAATTTCAAACAAATTTAATACCTTTTGTTTTATTATGAAAAACAAAGTCTCTCACCTGAAGCTCTTGTGCTAAATCCAAAGTCACCAAGCTTAACTATCCCCCTTGGGCCACAAAAAACATTCTCAGCCTTAATGTCTCTGTGAATAATATTCCGTTCGTGCTGTAAAAACAAAACTTGGTACAAAGCCCAAACAAATTGACTGTTAATTTTGTAAAGTAAGACGCTTACTAAGTGTTTAACTGCTGATAAGATTTGGGCAAATGTCTGCTTGGCATCGGTCTCTTTCATTTTTCCCTCTGTTAAAAGTTTTTGGTAAAGTTCACCACCATTGACAAACTCCATGACTAAATGCAGTTTAGAGAATGTCTCCACAACTTCAAACAGCCTGAAACAACTTTCTTTGAGCAAAAAGTTGTGCCACTAACAATCAAAGTAGCAACTGTCGAACCACCTGATGATGTTTTTGTGGTGGACCGCCTCCATACTTGCTATCTCCCGGACGAGCATTTTTCTCGCCTTTGGTGTCAGCTTGGACTTGTCCATAATTTTGACAGCGACCCGTTCTGAAATAATTTTCGTGTAATAGTACAACGTATATAATTTTAAAAAATTATTAAAAAATGGTATGAGTTTTGATAAAAAATCTGCAGTTCTTCTAGGGATATCTATTAATACTTCGACATTATTTGTTAAATACGAATTAGACTTTTTTTTTTTTTTTTTTTTTTTTTTTTTTTTTTTTTTTTTTTTTTTTTTTTTTTTTTTCCATGTTTGTTATTATTATTATTATTTTTTAAATTTGTTCGTTATAAATTATTTATATATTATTTATATGCTGCAACGAGTTCGTTTGACAAAATCGACCAGGGCCCGATAAACATCGAAGTCTTCTGTACATATTAAGAATTTATAATTATAAGGTTTTGCTATTTCGCACTGGTCTATCTCACCGAACATAGTCTTCCTTTCTTCATCATATTTTCTGCAATGCCATACAATATGTTCCGCATTATCTACTAGGTTGCATACGGTACACAGATCACTGTCTTTCTTTCCTATCATGTGTAAGTATGCATTACAGATGCAGTGGTTTGACCGTAGTCTGCCTATTGTAACAATGGCTTGCCTTTCAAACGTTTCTTTGGTGAACCAAGGAACGCATCCGACTTTCGGAAAGATGGATTTATACCATTGTCCAGTGCTTGATGATTTATATCTATCCTGCCACTGTGCAATCGGTCTACTTTTGATAACATTGATGGCATCGTAATGGGATATTTTCAACACTTTTTCTACCTCTGGTTTTTTGGTAGCTGACTTGGCCAAATCATCGGCTTTCTCATTTCCTTTCAATGAACAGTGGCCTCTTACCCATAAGAATAGAATTTGCTTTCCTTTATACCGGAGATCATTTATTTTATTTATAATTTTAACGGTCAATTCTGTACCATATGATTTGGTAAGATTTGGAGTCGTGACGCTGGACAAGGCACTCCTACAATCCGAACAAATTAATACCTGATTGTGTTCAATATATTCCGCGTATTCGAGAGCCAACAGAATTGCATACATTTCGCAAGTAAACGAGGAGGACTCATTTGGTAACCGGTACGATGCATGTTTATTATTGAGAGAGTCATAGTATGCCCCACCCGATTTTCCATCCATTTTAGAACCATCTGTGAATATGGTAGTCGCGTTGGGCCACTTTTTGTGGATGAGTTCGCGGAATCTTTGGTTTACTTCATTGGGCGGGAATTTGGAGAAATCTGGTAGAATAATTAACCGGGATCTTTGCATAGTTGAGAAGAATTCAAGATTGAATAGGGGTAGATATTTATTCACTTGAATTGATTGGAATAACCTGGGGCATTCCCACCCTAAGGTGCTAATAATTGGGGGCTTTTTTTTAATCCAATAAGGGGATGTTAGGACTTCGATCATCAAATTGTGGATTTTTTGATAGAGTTGGTGGTGTAAGGAAAAGGTTTTGAGGACATATTTATCTGCTAGCCATTGTCTCCTGATTGATAGCGGGGGTTCATTAGCTTCCCTGTGCAGGACATCGACTGGGGTAGAGTTTAGCGCCCCTAAGCAAATTCTAATGGCTTTATTTTGTATCGAATTAGACTTTATGCAGTGTTTTACAATTTACCTTTGGTAAGTTCGTGAACGCCGAGCTTAACGATGGAGAAGTTACCCCTGCCGAGTTCCCCCTGAAGCTTGTACAGCGCGACACGCTTCCCGAGGGTCGTCTCTTGTTGCCACTTCTGGTCATGATGCAAGTTGTGCACAGATTTGTCGTAAACTGCGGAAAAAAGAATAATTGTCACAAAAAGATATACTTGGCTCTTTCGAATTGCTCCAGTGGAGCGGTGTACAAGTGCAATAAGAGCTACTTGGCGCTACTGGATATCGCCGTGGGTACGACTTTACCCCGTTAGATCAACCCTGCGCCTTTCTACGGTTGATAGATCTTTCAAAACTTTAATAACTATTTATAAACGGAGTATATCCACTCCTGTCGATCCCCTGCTGAAAATCTGAAATCACGGCACGCCACGAAGGGGATCGGAAAAAGTGCCACAGATAATTTGATACTTGTTTGTCCTACTACCCCACAATCTTTCGATTTTCTTGGTATATTTAAAGACAGAGCCGTTTTAATTAGATGTTAGAAAATTTTGATTAGTTGCAGGAATTTTAAATTCGGTTCCAAACTTCTTCCCAAGTGAAGTAGAGATTTTCCAAGGCCGATTTGGATGTTGACACGGTTATTAGAAATTACAATTGTTGTGTGCTTAATGACAAGAAAAACTCATTGAAAACGTGTCTGGTGAAAAAAAAGTGGCAGACTCCTCCCAAATTGTTATTTGTAAATCTTGTTTACCGCAGAGATTATCGTAATAATGTGTTCTTACAAGAGGGAATGTCTGGAGGTCAGATTTTCTGCAATCAAGTAGATGCTTAAACTTAATGATAAGGGGACTATTTCTAACAAACGTATGTCTGCGACGTCCTGTCAACATATTTCTTGGTCTAATAAAGGCTATTATTCATGAAACAAGAGGGATGTACAATTTTGTGAATACAAACCACTTTAATGAAGTTGAGTGCAGTGGAAAAAATGATATTTATCTGTGAAGGAAGCAGTGATGTCAGGATGATTCATGTTGAGATAGAAGTCTACTACTATTTTTGTTAAAAAAATAAATAAAATAAAGTACGACTGTTTAGGTGGTAGGTCGTTTAGGACGCTTTCACGAACATAGGCCCTATGTCGACTAGATTTCAATGTCAAAATGTTACAACAAATTCATCATATCACTCGTCGCACAATAACCAAATTCACGTGGATTACCTACAAAATTCGTCAAGTCCCGTTCACTCACAATGGTCGCCTAAAACGTACGGGTCCTCAGTGTCCGGGGTCTTCATGTAATTGGCGTTCGTCTGCCAACTTACAGACTGTGTCTCGAGAATGTTTTTTTCTTTTTATCGTGTGAAGTGTGCCGAATGAGAAGGTAATATTTGTCTTGTGTGGCAAATTTTTGACAGCTGAATATTTTTTCAATAGTTTCTTACCAAACGTCGCTCTTGGTTTTTCGAGTAGTGAAAAGGCTTCTTGATTTGAAAAGTTTAAACGAATGCTGGTTAAATGACAAATCGGGACTTCTTACCTGGCGTTTTAGTTTGATTTTCTTCGAATGCCGAACGACACAATGTAAATTTAAACCGATGACATGACTAAAAACGCTGTGGATCGGGTTTGGAAATTTTAAAAGGGAAATACAAACAATAATACATAATTAAAAACATAAACAATTATGCCCGAGAAAAATTACCAAAGCGGCCCGCCATGGTGAATGCACTAAAAGATAAAGTATATGTAAGCATGTACCGCCATGTGCATACCGCCTAAACCACGATTCAGTGACCTCAATGAACTAAGGATTTTTTTTATGAGGGTATTTCACCTACGAGGTTGCCGGTGTTTTTGGCAAAAAGCCCATTTGTAAGTATGTCGAGTTCGAATGCAGGGCCGCTGGATTCGAACGCCGGACCTTTACCTTACAGTGCTGAGCGCCGTGCAAATGCCAACCGTTGCGGCCACCGACAACCCCAGGGAATTTCATTACATCCGTTTTTAGACTTAGTCTGATCCACAACTGTTTGCCATACCAACTCTATAAAATCGGAATAAAACACAGCCTGATCAAGAAACCGTAGCGGACCAATACCATATTCTTTTGTCCTACGTCCAAAAATATAATAGGTACTGTATTCCGCTGTTGTGCGAAGTGGCCTGTTCTTGCCTACCAAAAGTAGCATAATTTTAAGCAACGTAAACAAACCCCAAATCAGATGCACTATCTATAGTTTCGTTGCGGCTAATAAATTGGTTATTTAATTAGTGGGTGGGAGCGTTGGGAAGTGGCTGCCCAATGGGGGCGGCGGTCTTAACCGGGTTACCGTTCATGGAATTTCTGGTTGCTTCGGACGCTTTAAGCCCCGGATAATGGGGGGACGTAGACTTTTCTATAGCACTGTAAGTGATGTAAAAGTTCGCAACCCTTTGAATGCAGTATAATAAGTCCCTCTTATATAATAATACCTCTTAAGTCCCCGGTGGGACTATATACCCCGTTAATATACCCCTCCACGATTATCCTTAAAGTACAAGATATTTTCTTTTACCAGAGATTAAGGTGAGATTCCTCTGTCAGACGCGTATTGACTTCTCGCCATTTTCAGTGGTGGGTACGTCCGAGATAAAAGACCAAAAAAGCGAAGATATGCTGACCAAAATTATCAGAATTGAATTTCTGCAGAATTTACTTTAATTTTACCGATTTACAAAGGGTAAACAAGGTTGAGCTGCTTTCTGCTTTCAAAATTGATGGATTTGGTCTTATTGGATTCGTTCAATTACAACTACCATCTCCTCAGTAATCGTTCATTTTAACCGTTAATGTATTTTTTCGATATCGGACTTAAAGAATTGCATGTAGATTTGGACATGGATTTTCCGTGGTTCAGGAAATTATTTTTTGTGGTAGATGACACTGGTTGAGACAGAAAAGAAGAGGGCCTAGGACGGAGCCTTGATCGCCGCCTTCCGTCCTGATAAGAGGCAAACGGATTGAGCACTGAATTCAGCAATGTTGTGTATGTGCTGAATTTTTATCTAGAATTTCGACTGTTTTACATAATTATCAAAAATTTAGAGTGAATGTCAAAAAGGTAAACTATAACGAGGACAGACGAACCAAATTGTGAATATCGCCTATCATTCCGTCTATATTTGTTGTACTGTACATTCTTTGACATTCACTTTTGATATTTGATCAAGTAATTCGGCTTGAAAGACGGTTGTGGCGGAAGCCAGGGGTTTAGTGCTCACTGTTTGGTCCTTTTATGCCCCTTCCCGTTCCATTTACAATCTTTGAGCCATCTGTAAACCATAGAAGAGCTCCAGGCTTTTCTTTCTATTGTTCTCTTTCTTCAATTTTCAAATTGAATGGTTCAAGTTTTCTTTAAATACGGCCGAGAAAGTTTTGGCCATGTTATATCAACTTTGCCGAAAATTTGTGTACCTATTTGCAGCCGTGGATGTTATTTTAAGAGCCAGATGATGCTAAGACCTTTGGACTTTTTGAAGTAGTACCATTGCCTTTCTTTGTTCTATTTTTGGGCACCATGTATTACGCATGTGTGATCATGGCCGAATATCGAATGTATGACCATAGGATTATCTTAGGACGTCCACAGTTTCTACCACAGACTTTGACATATCCAGTGTTCCTTTAGGGACCTGGCCTTTGGTTCTCTTGAGGCGTATACTATATTCCTTAGGCCGAAAACTCCCCCAGGTATGAAAATAGAAAATGTAAAAATACAAGCAATAATTTGGAAAAGGAGTAGATCCAAAATCCATTCAGTAAAACCAATTAAAAAAAAAAAGTATATGTAATTTAAATAGCATCTGTCGGGCAGTTTGATCTGTTAATATTTGTGTACATAGATAAAAACTTACTTCAATATCCACAATGTCCAAGTCCTGTACTTGTAAAGTAAACAAGTATCTTTTGAGGAGGTAATGTTAGTATGTTAGCATGTTATGTAACCGCCCATAGCCAGCCGGTTCACAATAAACGAGATTAGAGAGTAAAACTATATTAAGTTCGTTTTGAACAATTCCATACAATGAAGATAAACCATCCCTAACCATCTAAGATAACCATCCCTAACCAAGTTTTTGTCAAAACAAAGGATAAATTGAATAGGTACATCTGGCCCTTACTGTTGTTGAGTTGACGATTATAGGATTATATGTGTAATATTTGATATTTATAATTTCGATTTATTCTATTCGTTATATATTATTTTTTATAATTAAAATTTTTTAGAGTTAGTGTCAAAGTTTGTCAAATAATTATCAGCTCAGTAAGAAACTGGAGCTTTATCATCCCCGATCATCCCGGCCCGTTTATTCTCGCTGGTTTGGATTGACAGGCCATTTTCCAAAAATGGCCGAAAAACTGAGAGAGACTAGGTAGACCAGGATGATTCAGGAAATGATCCAATTTCAGGTCTAACATCTAATACAATTTAAAAATATTCAATAGGAATAACGGGACTTTAAAAAAAACAACTAAATACCGGTCATTGCAAAACTTTCAATCTTAAATGTTATTACTTCTTATTTTTATCTTACATAACAAAATATCCCGTCTAGATTGATAGAATTTTAAAATATGCAAATTTAAGCCAAATAGCAAGTTGTGCGTAGTTGTTCTATTATTCATTTCTTTTACTTGCTATGAAAGTATATGAGCGAATGGTCTGCCCATTCTCGCTTTTTTCACTAAATTGTCTTCACGCTATTATCAAAATTCTATTTATATAGGAAAACAATAGCAATCAGATAAGAAATCAGTTTGTCCGAGATAATTTTCAAATGATGAAGTAAATATTTTCAACGAATGTTACCCTTTCCAGTTTATTAAATACAGTTTCGTAATTTTGAGCTATTTAGGTTTTGGACAGTTTTTATGTTTTTGAGAACATGTATATTTGTAATATTAGAATAAGTATGACATAAACATACACATGGAGTACAATAAGTGAACAAATTCTTCTGTACGAGCCAGTATAAGCCGGGAAGATGCAGGCAGTACGATGATCAATAAAAACAACCGCTGATGAATAATCCAATTACGAACAAGGGATAAGTTTAGTAAATGGGAAAGATGCCGGTACGAAGATTCCTTTTGATGTCGAAGCAAACGGGAGAAAAACAAAACA